TCTTTCCCTCCATGCCAGATGCCCACCTCACCACAGTCGCCACCACTCAGGGTCTTCTCTGTACCCTTCTAGATACTGCAGGACAAGCTGGAGACAGCACCACTCCTCAGTTGTCAGGGACAGAGAACGTGTGGATGGAGCCACCCACCAGTACAAATCAGCCTGTCGAAAGGCGCAGGCCCGGGACGGGACTCCAGGGTCAGTCCCAGTATTGCCCTTCTGCTTTCTTTCCAAAGAGGGAGGGTGAGAGCAGCCTGGGCTGGTGGCCCGTAGGTCTGGCTATCGTGGCATCTGTCCCCCACACCACTTTTCCTCTGCAGGAGTCCAGCCTCGGTGTTCCTGGCGTGGCAGAGGAGAAGCCAGACCTCCCCTGCCTGACTTTTCCTTCCCTATGCAGGGCTCACCCAGCTGGGCCGTTCACATGTGTGTATGCTCTGTCTTTCCAGCTGTCTCCTGCGGGGAGCGGGCTGGACCCTTGCTGGCCTGGCACCAGCCCGTGTGCCGATGGAGGCTCCCTTGCTGAGGCCCAGCCAAGGTAGGCAGGGTGGGAGGCCACCCCAGAACGCTTTCCTTGACAGGAGTCCTCCTTTTGTCCCTGGGAGGGGAGAGAGTGGCTGCTTTCCTGGCACTAGAGCCCCCCATGCTCTCCCTCCCCCCAGCCCTTTGAGCTCCCATTTTGTGGATGAGAGTGTTGGAGGTTGCCCTGGCTCTGCCTCGAGGGGCCTCACTTTCCTCGGTCCAGTAAAGTTGCTAAGCCCCGACTTTCAAACCACCCATGTCCCCTGCTCCCCGCGAGTGGAGAACTCGTCAGCAATCTGCACCCAAGCCAGCATCTCTCCCAAGGACCCCTGGGTTGATGCCCCCAGCTCTGTGGTTGTTTTAATGCACATTGTGCGTTTTTCTGGAGAGAAGGTCCAGAGCTTTCCCTGAATCTCCATGGAGGGGGAGTGGACCCAGACAGGGCCAAGAACCATTGGCCCACAGGGGCCATCCCCTCTCTGGCACCCTCGGGCCCTCCAGAGTCTCCGACCTGTCCCATTTTATTTCCTGCTTGATTTTATTCCCCAAGGCAGCCCACCTTCTTTCCCTCCTGCAGGCACCAGGTGTGCTTTTCCTCCAGCTTATGGAGTGTGTGTGTGTGTGTGTGTGTGAGTGTGTGTTGGGGGGGGGGGG